GTACACGCTTCACTGCAGACCTCAAGAAGAAATAATACTTTCATTTACTCACGGCAAAAACTTACTTTACTTACTAATTTACTCACGGTAAAAAAAATGCACTCCCTATTCCATTGTCATGAAGGTGGAATCTAACTATATCAGAATACGTTTTATTGATCCAGGCTAGAAACATGTTTATTTCTGCTGTAAAGTTGGGCATTTTAACATGGGGGTCTATGGGAATTGATCCTTTCTGCATCCATCCCCTGTTGGCCACTAGAGGAACTACAGTTTGTGGCACTTCCTTCTGGGCTTCCCGGCTCTGCGCTATAACGCGCTGATTGGCTGTGGGTTGGCCAGAAGTGCATGTGGGTGGGCCCAGGCCCACCCACAGCTACGCCACTGCGCTGAGGTAAATAATGTGTCCATAACTAAATGAACTGAATCTCAGGAAGAAAGGGAGAAAACAAAGAGAGATCTGTTCAAACTCTAATGTTGCGTCTCAGGAGAGATTCTCCTCACCTTGCTGCTCTCGTCTCTGTCCTCTCCATCAGCTTTGCTCTCCGCCTCGTCTTTCACCTCCTCTGCTTTGCACACGCTGACAAAAGAAATGACATAAAAAAACCTTTAATACCTCAGACTATGTCCTACTGAGCAATGTCTTGTAAGGACAACACTTGCAAGGGTGGAACTAAAAGGATTAGAGAACACACACTGTGAGTTCCCTTTATGTTTGACTAAAGATGTCAGAAAATATGAAACGACTACAGAAGAAGAAAGAGCTACCAAGATGCAGAGATGCAACAAAGTCAGAATATGACCTGTCAAATATGTTCTGAAGTAAAGAAAAGAGCTAAAAGCACCATAGAGGAAGAATTTCCTGAGGCACCAAAAAAACAAAAAAACAAAGGGGAAAAAAGTTTGACATGACAGCACATCACCCTGTGGCTGATGCAGGAGTTAAAGAATAAACAGCAGGGAAATAAAACGACTTCCTGTTTCATTGAGTGTTGATCACAGCAACGTGTTAGTGAGAGACACTCTGAGAGAGTTTAGAATACATAATACAATAGCCATTTCTGTCTTTGCTAATATAAACGTACACACAGATTTAAATTAGATTAAACTAAATTATTATACATTGTATAATAATTGAATATGTGTTTCATATGTTTATCAACATTTAATAGAGAGCTAAAGTGTGAAAAAAACGATTATTATGCTTAAATCTTCTTTTATCATTTTCTTTCATAACCTTTAGGCTTGATTTAAAATATGTTAAATCACTTTGACACTGAGACATTTTTCACATATTCACTATTTCAAATAAAAATGTAAGCTCACGCAAATCTGAATAATGCAATCTGGAAGTTAACATAAACAAAACAATATATAGTTCAACTATATAATAAAATACTATATACTGTAAATACAACATTTTGTGAAACACTACATACAGTATATTGTAAACCTGGTGGGATGAATTATGTGCAACTACTTTTTTTGTTGTATTTTGGATATTTACACACTTAATAATAATACACACTATCTGTATTTTTGTCATTTATTTAATGACAAAAGTTAAATAAAAGTCCCTCTGCAACTCAAGCGAGCAATCCTCCATAAAAACTTTACAAGTTTAAGTCCAGTCCAGAATTGTTAAGATTCATAAATAGCAAACTTGTTGTCCAGACACTGCGGCATTCCTGAGTCAGCACCTGAACTTTTCATGCAGTTTTTGAGCATATTGAAGGTTTATAGATCCATCCTGGTAATGTTTCCTTTCTGTGAATTTGTTTTCATTTCCCCATCCTGCTTGCAGCATGTGTTGGCCGCCTGCTGCGTTAGCATTCTGATCCAGCAGATGCTCCTGCAGCACAGTGGCTCAGCGGGGAGCAGCTTCAGGTTCAACAGGTAATAAAGCGGACGACAACTTCAATTACCTTCAGGAAGACGATCAAAGCTTCACACGTGCCTCATCTTCTCAAGTCTGGGAAATACATTTCCCACGCTAAGTCTACGCTTCCCTCTTTCCCTCTCGGTCACTCTCTCTGTCAATTATAACTCTCACTCTTTTGTCAGAATAGCTTCTACTTAGAACACTTCGAAGTAAAGTGAAACTGCCAGAGAAATGACTTTATACATCTTTCAGAGTTTTGCCAAAAATCTAATACTTTACGGAATGTGCAGCTGTGTCTGTCATCTATATAAATGTCTCTCTTTCCCCATTCATATTTTTGTCACTGATCTGGTTGAAATAATTGTCACGCTAATGTCACCCTTAGCATATCTTCCTATGTGTTTATAACATTGTTCTTCACACTCAGCATGTGAAGCAGCAGTGTGGGCGTGGAGATGGCTCTGCTGCTGATAGAGCACACATCAGAGGTGGCACCGTGTGTGTCTCACACCAGAGTTGGCAACCTCCTGCTGTGATGGCTCCTACAGAGAGTAAAGGAGGCAGAGAGCGTGGAAGGAGCAGAGGCTCCTGATGGAAGCTGATTTATGGACGTGCGTGTGTGTCCCTCCTGCACCTGTCTCTACTTTAGACCCTGAAGATAGCATTTTGATCCGTTGGCAAAAGGTCAATGGGATTTTTCCATTAGATTTCGGAATATTGCAGAGAATAATAATATCTGTGGCAAACACATGTTTGCCACAGATATTACAGGTTTTGTTCAGCAGGATAATCTCCACATATTAACACCGCTTTTATGATTTATTGGTAAAAAGCAAAGTAAAATGCTTGTGTAAGGCTACAAAGGAACTACAGCAGGGTCAGATGACTTCACGTCACCACCGCTAAACTAAAGGCGGCTAATGTTAGCGTAATGCTGTTTTGTAGTCTCATTGAGACACCTGTTGAACTGATCTTCTATTGAAACATAGACGATTCAGACATTCACCAGTGGGGTATTTAGTGATGTATATTTGTGTCATAGAACAAAACGCAAATATCTATTAAAGGTGGGGGATGTAATTTTGGAGAAACCAGCTCGAGTGCGCTAGAATTTGAAAATACACAACTGGAAAAAAATCTGCCACTTCCTTCAGACTTCCTTACAGAGCCCCTCCTCCAACACACACGAACGCGCACATGACCAATGAGGGCACGAGATAAGTTTGTGCACAGATGGAAGGCTGACAGGCAGGTAGGCCATCCAGTTATTTTAGCCGGGCCGGCTCAGATGTTTGGTCGTGCTTTTTACAGTACTACGGCTTCCACAGATGACATTTTTTTAATGGATTTTTTGTCAAAGCACTTCATATATTCATTGCTATCGGGATGTTAAGAGCATTCCATGGAATATAACAAAAAGTGAGCCGGTTTCTCAAACTTACATACCCCACCTTTAATAGGTTGAATGTCCCATAGGATGTTTTGTTTTTTCATTTTGCCATCTACACATTATATTGTCTGTAACACAGAAATCCTTGTGATAGAGTAATGAGTAATGAATGACTTCAATGCAGACATCTTGAACCTATAAATACCTTCCATAGAAAACCCTGTCAGTGTGCTGAAACCGAAGCAGTTCCCATTGAGGCTTTTCACACAGACTGTGAAACAACATTTGCATATTTTAGAGCTTGGCTGATTTCCTTTCTTTGCAGCCAGAGTGGAGGATCAGAAAGGTTGGACCTACCAAACAGCCACATTATCAAATCAATACGAGCCACTTAACGTCATCATTAGAGGAGGTTATGGCCATGTACGAGAATACATTTTGATCCTGACACACAGTTTGCATTGTGGCAGTTTCACATCACGATGTAACATCCAAAATGTGAAGGTCTAAACATGAGACATATCTTTAAATCGTGATACTCAGACTATGCATCTTGTTTAAAACATCAGTGAAGTGAAGCAGCAGGAAATCAGTGCTCTCCACGGCTTCTAATGTATGGGCGGCACAATACGGAGAAGCACGAGTACAAAGGGAGGAGAACAACAGTGCTTCTGTTTGTAGACTAATAATGGATAACGGCTGGCAGCTGGAGGCTAGTCTGAGCTGCTGTGAGCCGAGTCAGGGCTGTGCTGCCATCTAGTGAGGAGCAAACACACATCAAGTGTTGTCTGGAAAAGAGAAGCAGACTGCATTTCAAAGAAAGAAATGAGGAATATTTCTAAACAAATTTCACCTGTTTTGTAAGGTTTCTTGTTGATTTGAAACCTTAAAGGTCCCCTATTTTACTGTTTTTCCTCAATATATTATAGGTCTCAGATATATACAAGACATGTCTCTGAAGTGTTTGGCTCCAAATACCAAACAGATCATTGCAGCATCCCATAATCCCCTCTGTTTCAGCCCTGTTTCAAAAGTGCTGATTCTCTGTCTGTTACTTTAGACGAAAATAAGGAGCCCCTCCCCACGCCCCTCTGAGAGATATTTGGTTAAAAAGAACTCAATAGGTGCGTTCACACCGCAGTACTTTTCCCACTTTAGTTCCGATATAGTTCCGAAATGTCGCGTTCACACCAAAACAATCCGGAACTAAAATTAGTTCTAGAGAACATTTTTACCCCCTTTTCAGTCCCTGCTAGAGAGCAGGGGCTTTCGTGGGAGAGAAAGGTTCCTATGTCTGATTGGCTGGGCGGATTGCAAACCACGCCCCGTAAAACTCCCAAAAAGTTTTGTGAAGCTGCCATTTTATTATCCTCGCATTGTATTATTAGCATTAGCATTAGAAACAGGAAACGAACACATTGGTAATCGGTTCAGTGGTTTGGTTCATTGTGAGGGGGGTGGGGAATAGTGGACTCTAGAGGCTCTCGTGGTACATCGCGCGAAGTGTGGCGTCCTGAAAAGGAGTTTCCAGTAGTATTGAAATCAAGTACTCTTGAGCAATCAAATCACTCAATCAGTGAGAGAAGAAGATGAAACCACAAAATGACCGTCCGGCGTTTGTTTGAGTGCGCATTTGACGTGGGCTTCGAAGGGCACGGCTTGACTAACCCCTGAGCCGAGTCATCTTCGGACGCCCTGAGGTCGTCGAAGATGACTTCGGAAGCTCATTTAGGCGTTCTGCGGCTGTTGTGAGTAGAGGTGGCGAGGGTACGTAAAAGAAAACCAACGTATTCAATCAGAGAGCGCCCAAAG